CTATCTTTCTATAACACGAGAAAAAAAAAAGAATTACATTACTCAGACACCCTCCACATTTAAACAAACATATTTATCCCCGAATCCCCTTTTAACTCCCCTTCATTAGTTAAAAGGAGAGAAGAAAAAAAATAATTTAATTCGATAGCGCCCCCCCGAAGACAATCACTAATTACCCCGACCGTAAGCCATACAAATAGCCAAAATGTTTTCTAATTTACAAAAAAGGCGCAAAAAATATATCTCACTCGCTAAATGAACTTATTTAGCTTGAGCGGGCTTTAATAAAGATTTTTCACGGCACACTCCGGTTTTCGTCGAATATATATATATATAAGTATATATTATAAATATGTATATATATTTTATTTACGCTAACTTTTTTTTACTGGCTACTAATCCGGATATTTCGCGTGGCAGATTGAATTAGAGCACAACAAACGTGCCTTATTGCCAGTTAAAAATAATGAGCTTCTTTCATTTCTGTATCGAATTTATCATTTCGTAGAAGTGTACGTGTCTATGGCACCTTTTAACGTTCTTTTTTTTAAATTAATTTTATGATTGAATAATGTATTTTGGAATTTTTGTTACCTAGTAACCCTGAAATTAAGCTTTGCTTTTTTGTGTTCTACAAATAAATACTCATTTGATTTTGTATTTAGTTATTATTGTACTTCACAACATTTCTTATGTATTAATGACGGTGTCTCTAAATGTTAATCCTAATTTCTTATTTATATATCCCTTATTTTTCTATTTTCATTCATTAATATATAGCACGGTAACCTCGCCTTTGTTAACGATGTACGCTGACAGGGCACCAGTACAGGTTTATTTGTATGTATTGCATTATTTTTTCCTCTATTCAATAACGCACCGCCTACGTATTTCTCGGTTTGCCCAATGGTTGACTGGTAGAGAACACCGTCCGATGTTAAGTCCGCCAAGTGTACATAGAATTTTACTGTGCATTAAAGTTTAAATAAATAAATAAAATAAATAGGTGAGAATGTAAAGGCTGGCCAGTTAGCCAGCCTTAAGTCGAAACAATTGTCGGAAACGACAAAAACATAGCGAGTTCATTAATTTCCCATTATATATGTAAAATGAACATAAGTTTTAATGTAACAAGTGTATATAAAAATCGAATCTTTCTTTTCTTTATAAATATTATTAGTATAGATAATAATTCCTTTTCAATTCCCACTGCATGGTTATTTTGTTGTATTACCCCATATATTAAAATGCGACAAGGCAACACCGGGCGTGCATTCACGATGTTGCAACATCCCTGTAGCTATTCATTCGCAAACACACAACCTGTCTTGTTGTGTCACGTGATAAGCAAAATGGCTGTCGCCGATGAAAAGTAAATAGATATATAAATAGATATATTACACCTATATGAATTGCATCCACGAGTGGTAACCACAATGCAGTAAACGTGAGAATAGTGTGGATTCAAGTTTATGAGCTCCCGTCTTCAGTTTTCCCATCACAGTATCATCATATTGGGGGAAAAGGGATTGTTAGCAATGGAGTTGATGGTTTGATAGTCCCATTGCTAGGAATATGTCCGTCGACGTGGAAGTCGACCTGATAACCTCCACGTGGTTCCCCCTGGAAACCATCGTGAACAATTCTTGTTGAATTCGTCACGATGGGCTAACTGACCCGCTTCATCTTCACCTATCATCTTTCACTGGTGCCCCGCCGGTGTATACCGATAGCGCGGGCGGGGTTACCATTTCATTATCACCCATTAAATAAAAAATTATATCAGACTGCAATCCTACGTAAACCTCTTCGTACCGCATAGTGATTCAGAAACAATTAGTTTATGAAAGAGGTAGAAGCTTGTGAATAGGTGATTCACGAGGTCTTTAGCTCTTGTTTCTGACAAAGAAGCAATGTATTATTTAACATTTTCATCATCATCATCATATCAGCTTTTAACTGTCTACTGCTGCCTTCCCCTTGGAGGAGAAGCCTAACTGTGGTTACTAATCCTTCTGCCAAGCATGGCAACTACTGGCAAAATTTCATTTTTGGGGCAAATGATTTGAAAATTGAAAATTTGATGTGCTTTGATGATAATGATATTTTTATATCACAAAGGTGGCAAATAAGCATACAGCCCGTCTGATGGTAAACGGTTAATGTAACCTATTGACGCCTGCAACACTAGTGGTGTCACGTGCGCGTTGCCGAGCCTGAAGAAACATTAATATATCCTTTTTGAAGAACCCCATACTGTAGTCTTTAGGGAGAACCTCGGCAGCTAATTCTATAGCCTGAGCGTTCGTGAAAGAAAATTTCTCTGAAATTGTATATATATATATATATATATATATATATATATATATATATATATATATATATATATATATATATATATATATATATATATATATAGTATATGTTTAGTACGATAATATATACATAAATAAAATATATCTATTTCGTCCATCTATCGCCATTTTGCTCACTATTATTTTACGCTTTTACGCGTATATTTTTTGGCATATAAGAAACAGTAATACGTGTTGTACATCACGTTATATCAAATAGAACGTTTCCGGTTGTTATGAATAAATAAATAATAAATCATCAAGGTCATGTGACAATTGATTTTGCACGATTTCTTTGTATATTACATTAGACGTGTTTAAATATAAAAATAATTCTGTTGTTCATTGTCAAATTGTGTATTAAAAAATATGCTGAATGTATCAAGTTACAATGGTACTCTGCACTTTAGTTATGTTTTGTTAAGAGAGGGACTGGCTGTAAACCAGCGCTGCAGCTGTTCACATTGCGCTGGGTTTCAGTTCACATCACTTACAGCATCAGCTGAGCCGGTTCCTTTTGCCTAGTATGGGACACTTTTTGTATATGTTATTTATCTACACTAATATTATAAAGAGGAAAACTTTGTTTGTTTGGTTGTAATGAATAGGCTCAAAAACTACTGGACCGTTTTTAAAAATTCTTTCACCATTCGAAAGCTACATTATCCACGAGTAACATAGGTTAAATTTTATTTAAAAAAAAAAAGGGTTCCGTTAAATATTTGGGTTTATCGGACACAAGGTGTAAAAAATCAACCAGAAAAGTTACTTATTTTGCGTACGCTGCCTAAACTATAAAAGATAGAACCGTAAAATGTTCTAATTAATTGTAGATCTTATAAATATCTACAAAAAAGTCCGCGACACACTATACCTATCTATGTCGAGTGAGGCACAACAACCATTTTTTTAACTTAAAAATCTTGAATTTTTTTGGATTAGCTACATTGAAACGCATTTATTTTATTCATGCTATCAATCCTTAACGAAATAAATTATTTCATCACTAAGTACAGTTTATGCAGATAATATTTTGTCTTTGAATGATTAAAATTGGACGTTTTGTTTTGAAGTTATGGCGAAATTAAAATATTACAATTTCTGCTGCACGATCCGTTGCATTTTGCATATTGTGATAACCAAGATCCACGCAGGCGAAGCCACGGGCGAAATGTTTCTATTCTATTCATAATTATTATAATAAGCTTTTATCTGTCTGCTCTCGAACATGAGCCTCCTCTTTGGGGGGTTCTGCAAGTAGTTGCCACGCTTGGTTAGTGGATTAGTAGTTAGGCTTTAGAGATGTTTTAAGAGGGACGCTACTGCCCATCCATCGCCCTCTCTTAGTAGTTTTTTTTAATGAGTAAAGATGGAATGGTAATCCCGCCTGCGCTATCGGTATACGCTGGCGGGGCACCAGTGAAGGATGATAGGTGAGAATGAAAAGGCAGGTCAATTAGCCCGTCGTGATGAATATATCTGGGATTCAGCACGATTGTTTCCAGGGGGGACCACGTGGAGGTCGACCTGACAGGGTATATTACTAGCAATGGGACTGGTAGTCCGCATTACTAACACGTGTATACCTATAGAATAGATTAGGTTTCATTTGTGCGTGCAATAAATTATATAAATAAATAAAACACTTTCGTTTTTTTTTTATCGACGATAATATTGTGACGATATCGTGGACGAGTACGGAACATTGTAAAAACATTAATTGCGCACTTCCTTTCCTTACTAATACCATAAATGTGAAAGTGTGTTTGTTTGTTTGTTACCTTATAGCGCCTTGACGGCTTAACCGATCACTATGAAATTTAGGATACACGGATATTAGTAAGCATATCCCGGTCACGGAAGTTCCTAACGATAGATGTATACGAATGGATGTCTGTTACTCTTTAACGCAAAAACTATTGAACGTTTTTAAATGAAATTTAATTAACCATGAAAGGAATTAACCATGATAGTTTCCAGGGAGAATCGCTGATGAATTCATCATGATGGGCTAACCGGCCTGTTTTCATTCTCATCTATCACCCTTCACTGGTGCTCCGCCAGCGTATCCCATTAACGCAGGCGGAGTTACCATTCCATTTTCATCCACCAAAAAAAAATCACAAATTTGCAGTCAAAAGTAATAATAACCAATAATTTTTAGTCTAAACCACTTTTGACCAACCTGTTCAGTTAAAAGTACCTACTTTTGACTCATTTTGCTAGTCAATAGTACTTTTTACTGGTTAAGAGTTTTGACTAAAAAACATACACACACATTGTATTATTTTTAAGTAAACAGTTTGTTCATACAGTATTGTGGAGAATTAATATTTTAAGCATTAAAAATACAGTTATTAACGCGGGTGAAGCCACGAGATACAGCTAGCGATACACATGTAAAAAACTCGAATATAAGTAAAAAAAAAAAAGTAAACGTAAAAGTGGCAAGGTCGTGGTGATAAGATTAAAAAAAAAAAATAAAGTAGTACTTTCTGATACTTTATCATTATTATTTAAAATGGTATTATCATTATTGTATTGGATTGATTATCAAATAAATCTGCTGTCTGTTAAGCTTATAACGTCATTATGAACACTGAGTCACGATAATATCTCTCCATCTATATATAATCAGAACTACACTATTGGTATTCATATTCGAAATGATACGCGTATCCAAGTAACATGCCAATATATAGATGCAGTATCAAGTATGTGTTCTTAATTTAAATAGTGCACCAGTGTACGTAAATTAATTTAACGTGTGTGAAGTTGTGAATATTGCTATGTGGATTCCTATCAGGATTTGTAATCAGAAAGGACAGGTAATATACATGTATTGGTTCAATAATAGATTTATTAAATATCACCGATATTAGATATCGATTATGGATAACCGATCCAATATTATTTTTTTGATACAATATATTAATTGCAAACAAGCTGACGGCCCACCTGATGGAAAGTGGTAACCGTCGCCTATAGACATGAGCAGTACCGTGGACATAACAGAGTATACTGTTTCGCCCATGATACCTTCCATGCATTGCCATTAATGAGGACTCAGGTGTTATTCCTCTGTACCCAGTAAATTTACACCATATCCGACCCTTCAAACCGAAACACAGCCATGCAAACAACTGCTTCACAGTTGAGACACGAATGGGACAGAGGTACCCAAGCAATCGACTTTTGTACAAAGTCTTCAATTTGTCATAAAATTAATATGAAAATTAACTTTATTGACTGTAACATATATACAAAAAATAAAAATATAAATGAATTAATTTAAAAATCGTAATATCCACACTATGATAACTCGAGATAGTATAAGCGAAACTATGACGAACTTTCTGCAGTGTGTTCAGCGAGAGAATAGCTTCGATACAATTACTTTACAGAGATGCAAAGCTAACCTACGCTGTTATGATGCCTTGGTACATCAACGCAGTCTGGATCTAAATATGTTGTTACTTATTTATAATTAAAGTATCTATTTATTTATTTATTTTCACATTGTGTTCCTTGTGAGGTCTATAGGGCAGCGAGTGCATAGCTAACCTACCATGTTATGATGCCTTGGTACATCAACGCAGTCTGTATCTAAATATGTTGTTACTTATTTATAATTAAAGTATCTATTTATTAATTTATTTCACATTGTGTTCCTTGTGAGGTCTATAGGGTAGCGAGTGCATAGCTAACCTACCATGTTATGATGCCTTGGTACATCAACGCAGTCTGTATCTAAATATGTTGTTACTTATTTATAATTAAAGTATCTATTTATTAATTTATTTCACATTGTGTTCCTTGTGAGGTCTATAGGGTAGCGAGTGCATAGCTAACCTACCATGTTATGATGCCTTGGTACGTCATCGCAGTCTATATTTAAATATATTGTTTACTTATCTATTTATTTATTTATTTACTAGCGACCCGTCCCGGCGTCGCACGGGTGGACATTTTTACATTTAAAAAAGTGACCATTAAGGCGGCACACGCGACGGAAGCTTAAAAATGGAGTAACTTCTCCCGTTTTCACAACATTTCCCTTCACTGCTCTGCTTCTATTGTTCGTAGCGTGATGAAAAGTATACTATAACCTGCCCAGGAGTATGAAGAATAATTGTACCGAGTTTCGTTGAAATCTGTCCAGTAGTTTTTGTTTCTATAACGAACATACAGACAGATAGACAAACACTTTACTGATTGCATTTTTGGCATCAGTATCGATCACTAATCACCCCCTGATAGTTATTTTGTAAATATATTTCATGTACAGAATTGATCTCTCTACAGATTTATTATAAGTATAGATTATACATTATGTTCCTTGTGAGGTGAGTGGGATAGCAAATCATCATCATATCAGCTATTAACTCTTCACTGCTGAACCTAGACCTCTTCTATAAGGAGCCAATAGTCAATAGTTGTCAAGCTTGGCGGCAGGTTGGCAACCGCAGTTAGGCTAATGTTTTAAAAGGAACGTTACTGCCTATCTCTTGACCATTGACAAATTCTATGCCCACGAAATATCTCTTCATGTGATTTTTTTATGAAACTTAGAATGGCAAACAAGCTGACGGCCCACCTGATGGAAAGCAGTAACCGTTGCCTATAAACATGAGCGGTACCATGGACATAACAGAGTTTACTGTTTCGCCCATGATACCCCCCATGCGTTGCCATTGCTGAGGACTCAGGTGTTATTCCTCTATGCCCTGTAAATTCACTGCCATATTCCACACTAATGTTTATGTATTCAAAATTTTTGTGCAACAAAACTGCACATATTGTTTCAAGTATTTTTTGTATATTGAATTAATTTCACATCAAATATAATAAAAAATCGAACGTCGAACCGATCCCTTTGTGTACTGAGTTGCGGCTAATCGCCATAGAGAAAAATCAAAGGGCTCATCGCCGGGGCCCTTTCTCGAAGAATTCAATTAAAAGCTAAGGCTCGAGAGTTTTTCAGTCACTTCAACTGAAGTCCCGATATCAAAAGAACGTCAAATATAATCAATTTTACAAATATCCGAGCTTGTATGCGAGCCTTTTTCTTCCTTACAAAGTCTGTTCAGACGTCCGGTGCTAATTCTTAAACAACCTAAGTCTATACGTGCTACAAGCAAAAATCAACTATTTATCTTTCGGATAAAGTTTGGAATAGATCGTTCGTAGGTCGAGACATGAAACTCCCAACTCCGATATCGTAAAATATGATAACACTGTGTGAAAGTATCGAACTTAACTTTATTAGTGTCCACTATTGACGATTTTGGAGCTTGCCGCGCGACAAATAGAGTACATTTTTCATTGTGGACAGAATCACTTGTGGCGTTCCGTTATACGGTATTGTCATCAATACTGTATCGTTGTATATTATCGTTATAAGCGGCATTAAGACTGAATCGTTCGAGGGAAAAATTGCTATTAAGAAGCATGCACATCAGCCATTTAGAAAGAGCATTTAAAGGTCTCTATAACTTTATTTTTAAAGGAATATTTTTAAGTTTATTATTTCAATTTCAGATATCAATTTCAAAAAGTACCCCTAAAAAAATAAAATAAACTGTAATTCAGAATAATAAATTATTAGAATTTTAATATATTTCAAAGAACCTGTGTCAGAGTCTCATTGCTTTGCATTGGTCGACTTCCACGTAGTCCCTTCTTCAAACCATCGTGTTAAATCCCAGGTGTATTCATCACGATGGGCTAACTGACCTGCTTTCATCCTCACCTACGAACACACGGCAACCTATGATGGGGTTTTTTTTGATAAGTGATAATGGAATGGTAACCCCACCCGCGCTATCGGTATACACCGGCGGGGCACCAGTCAGCGATGATAGTTAAGAATTGTTCACGATGGTTTCCAAGGGAACCACGTAGAGGTCGACCCGACAAGTGCAGCCGCGGTTGCTTTAACATTATCATCTATTAAAAAAAACATATGTTTTTAATATCATCTCGTACGGTGTAAAGGGTCCTTATAATGGGGTAATCACGGTAAGATGTATCTTCTCTCAATGCCTCAGTTACCAAGATAAAGACGTTATTCTCTTATTATTAATGTTGGCTTAGATAGGATAGATTTAGTATAATGTTCATGATATTGATGTATGATGTATGGTGAATACAGTTTCTATGTATCTACATCTTATTTATTTGTAGGATACGTATTTTGACTTAATCGAATTGAGATCGGGATCAAATAGACGTTAAATGGACGTTATTTTATATTATATTTTTGACGTCTATTCGACGTGTTTTCAGTTTGCGTCTAAAGTTTAGTTTAACGGTAAGAAAATAGGTAAACAGCGACACTACTTACAATTATACTCTTATCAGGTCGACCACCGCGCGGCTTCTCTTAGTAACTATCGGGGTTTCAATCTTGTTGAATTCGTCACGATAGATTAACTGGCCTGCTTTCATCCTCACCTATCATCTCTCACTGGTGCCCCGCCAGCGTATACCGATAGCGCAGGCGGGGTTACCATTCCATATTCACCTTTTTATAAAAAATCCGCACTTCTGTAGATAGAGTACTTAATTTTCGTTTTAAATCATTTTTTTTTTCTCTTACAGAACCACAAAATGCCTGCGTCCAGGGACAGCCGGTGTCAGCGCTCAAGTAATGCTAGCAGTGAGTATATTCTTTACTTCCGACTTTGTCTGCGTGACCAGAGTAATGTCGATGGACAGAGATCATAGCAGCCTTTAACTATTCACTGTTGAGCATAGGCCACCCCTTTGGGGGGTTTCACCAGTAGTTGCCACGCTTGGCAGGCGTATTAGCAACCGCAGTGAAGCTTTGGAGATGTTTTAGGAGAAACGCTGCTGCCCATCCCTCGCCCGTGACGTGCCCTGTGGTTCCGGCATAGAATAGCTCTTAGCTTACCTTTCCCGTGGGTTTTTTTATACAACTTAGAATGGAAAACAAGCTGACGGCCCACCTGATGGAAAATGGTAATCGTCGCCTATAGACATGAGCAGTACCATAAACATAACAGAGTATACTGTTTCGCCCATGATTCCCCCCATGCGTTGCCATTCCTGATGACTCAGGTGTTATACATCCGTACCTAGTAAATTCACGCCATATCCCACCCTTTAAACCGTAACACAGCCTTGCAAACACAACTGCTTTACGGTTGAAACACGAATGGGACAGAGGTACCGTAAGAGGCGACTAAGGGAACTTAAGGAAGGATTGCAGCAATGTCTCTCTTAGAATATCACCAAAATCTAACTGCAGTTGCCAATCCACCTGCCGAACGTGGCAACTACTGGCAAAAGTCCTCCTTTTGATAATTATAAAAAAAATTTTATTTGTAAAATCTTTATTGTACATAATTTACATCGAATACATTAATAGATTTAATATACAATGGCGGATTTATCCCATAGAGGGATCTCTTACAGTCAACCTTTGTGAAGCTATAGGAAAACTATAGCATGTTCAAGGGTAAAAACCGTACAGCTGAACTTAAAATTCAATAATATCTAGTCATTAGTTCTAAGAGTTAGTTAGCAAAATTTGCTTCGTACGTATAGATAACGATATTTCGAATTTATCGATTCGCCTTACATATAGTAGCCCTATCATATGTTTTGATGGCAAATTATTTATCAATAAGTTCATTGACCGACTGCCATATTATGTTTGTGTACCTTATCAACTAAACTTTTCATGACCGATATTTCTTTGAAACAAAATAATTACTATCGGAACATGTTTATTTTGTAAAGTTATTAATTTTTTGTTTTTTTTTTTTTGTTATCTATTTTAAGAACTCCTGACCAGAGTAAGACTGTAAAAAGTCGTCTGCTTGGGTACTTCTGTCCTACTGGACTCTATCTGGACACTATGCTGTAGTATGGCGTTCTTTAAAAAAAGGGCTGTAATGGCTTCTTTGGGGTCGGCAATGAGCGCGCGTAATATCCCTGGTATTAAAAGCGTTCATAGACCGTGGTAATCGCTTACCATCAGGCGGGCCGTATGCTTGTCTGTCACCTCAGTGGTATAAAGAAACCGTGTTTCTGCCGTGCAGTATTTTGCTGGCATGGATATGTTACTATTTGAACGGTGAGCTAAGGCAGTGAAATTACAAGGTTCCGAGACACAGCACCATAGCTCTTAAGCAATATGAGAGTCACAGTGTATTCTGTAACATTTATAGGGTTTGTTCATATCTATGGTACACGATGATTACAGATTTTCATTAAGTGGGCCATCAATTTGTTTGCCTTTTTATGTTTCACAAAAAAAAAAAAACCGTTTAAAAACTCTGTAATTAATAAAACTATTTATTTTTCAGGTGGCATTGCAATCCAGGCGAGGGTGTACCACCCTGCCACAAATCTCATGCCAATCACCCCACCGCGTTCACCTAATGGCGTATCTTCCAGCTTCCCCCGGCCAAATACCACCAATTCCTGGTCACGCCAGAACAGCTACAATGGAAAGTGCTCATGACTACATCAAGCCGAAGATCCAACACGTTTAATCAGTAGCTAAATTCCCAACTAGTTTAATGATCCCTGATAACTCAATGATAAATCAAGATCTTGCATTTATATCCTAATAATTATGTACTAAATAAAAGTAAAATATGTAGAAATATTAACATATGAATTCTCCACTATAGTGGTAGTCTTCCTCCCCCTCCCTCCCTCTTAATAAAAAAATAATAAATATTAATTGACACGAGCGTGATTAAACAGTTACATTGGAAAATCCACGACTTTATTCTAAACAGGATACACTTGTATGCTTCGGAAGCAATGCTGATGTTACAGCGAAACGAGAGTAAACATACATCAATCTATATAAACACTATAAAATAGATACTGTAGTAAACGTGGAAGATAATTATCATTATCTGAGGCAAGATACGCTTGCATGCTTCAAAAACAATGATAAATCAAGCTCATGTAATTATACTCCAAAAGCATATGCGTATAACTAAGCACGATAGAAGACTCATACTTCAAGAGGCTCGTAACTATCTCAGGCAGGATGCTCTTGTATGCTTCGAAAGCAACAGCACTCAGTAATCAGTTGTTGTACACCACTGTATTGGAAAACGACGGTTTACAATGGAAGATATTCGTGACATTATCTGGCAGGATACTCTTGTATGCTTCGGAAGCAATGCTGAACCTATCACTCTCAGTTGCTGTCTATTTATCAAAGAAGATAGTAGACTAGTCTGATAACTGTTTTGATGTTAATTTTGCAAAGACAGTATCAATTAATTTATTCAATAGCTGCTCAAGAAAGTTCCGCTTAATTTTGAAGCTCAAGATTTGCAGTGGGACAATAAATATGTTATTTATAGGACAAAATATAGTTTGATATTTTTTATTACTTTATAAGTTAATTAGCAACTTTATATAGTGTAGTTAGTAAAAATTATGGACTTCGATATTTAAACTTCTTTTTTAACGAAAAAGTATCAATTATTATAAATTCAATACAGATGGCGCTATTCCTAAATATATTTCTGGGCGTCTTAAATTTTTGGTAGAATAGAGAAACTGACTAAATATGTAACTGAAATAGCTTGGTTTAGAAATATAAAATTTTCCTCTATAGTTCTTTGTATAACATAAATGAACTTTAAAAAGGCTCAGGGCAATTTTTGTTAATATTATTTTAATATAATGTTTTAGCGCCATCTATCTAAGATTTTTTTAAGTTGAAAAATAGATTAATATTGGGAAATTAATAGTAAATTTTAAGTTGGAAGTTTAATGAATTGTTTATCTTATTAGATAATTTATTAAAATCGAATGTCCGTGTTACCACTACATTTAATTTCATAATAATTATTTTAGAATTTATAAATATGATCATAATTAGATAATAAACGTGCACTTGTATTGACTTGTGTAGTAACAATTTTTAGTATAAAAGTATGTATTAGTAACTATTATTATGACTAGTATAATTTTTTTATTCATACTCGTATTTTTATTGTAATAAGGAAAATAAAAATAAAATGTTAACGAGACGAATCTGAATACGTTGTATAAAGCTTAATTTGTTTTATATACCAATAAAATAAATATGTTTACGACTATAATCCCTTATGAGGTAGTCGGAATCATTTGTCGACTGTTACCATTGTGGTGAACGTAATACTTGACGTGTCCACATTTTTTCGAGTAGATTTAATAAATTAATAAATATTATCTATATTACAATAATTAAGATTGTGATAATTTGTGTGTAATTTGTGTGTAAAATAAAGTATAAATAAATAAATGAAATTGTGTTCCACAAAAAAAAACGACTTTAATTATGGCAAAACCAGTTATTTTGACCTAAAAAGCAAACTACTGAATCGATTTTAATAAAATTTCTATGGAACCAATCTGAAATTTTAGATTTTAAAGAAAGATTTTTCAAATTGGTTTATAACTAACGGAGTTATAAGGTAACGAAAATGAAAAAAAATATCACTGGATTTATTTTTTAAAGACGATTTAAAATCATATAAAAAATTCTTGTTTGCACACTAGAATAATTCACTGGATATCACTGTCTTATCATATATCGAGTTTCATACAAGAAAAAGTTATCGAATATAAATTGCCAAAATGCACTTAACTGATTGTTTTCATATTAAGGCTATATATAAATTTTATATTTAAGTAGGTATCTGCATTTATTATAATTTTATTTGTTTAAATTTATAAAAAATAATGATGCATTTATTTGTAGTAAAAAATATGTAAATGTTTTTTTTTATGTATTGTATCATCAATATTATATATTATAATGTTGAATATTTTAATAGGTACTAATAGTAAATATATAGATTAATTAAAAAATAGTTATTAGAGAAAATTCTGTTAAATATTAAATACTCATTTCTCTCTGTCTGACCCATAAGGGATGAGAGTGATGTTAGATTGTGGGATATAGTGGAAAATATTATAACATTTAATTACGAGTATATCACTATAATAAAAAAAAAAAATTGCCATCTGAAATTGGCAACCAAAAAAACAATATACTTAGTGGGTACCTTATATTATTTACGTCTTTTGCATCAACGGAGTGTTGAAATTTGAATTAATTTTGTGAATATTTTAAAATTTCTAAAACTGTTAAGAACAACGACATAAATTCATAATTTGTTTTTTTTGTAATTGTGATTTCTTAAATGTGACAAAAGATTGTAATAAAGGGAGAAATACTGATTATAAATTGTATTTTTTTATTTAAGTATACCTACTGTTACTTTACTTTTTTTTTTAATGGATGATAATGGAATGGAAATCTTGCCTGCGCTAATGGTATACGCTGGCGGGGCACCAGTAAGGGATGATAGGTGAGAATGAAAAGGCAGGTCAGTTAGTCCATCGTGATGGATACACCTGGACTTCAGCACGGTTGTTTCCAGCCAGACCATGTGGAAGTTAGCCTGACGGGATGTATTGCTAGCAATGGGACTGGTAGTCTGAATTACTAACAATCCCTTTCTCTATTACTTCACGTTTAAAGCCAAAACTTTTATAGTCATTATAAAAAAAATAAACTTGGTAATGTGTCACTTGTTTTTAATCGTTAGTCGAAGTCGATTCTAGGGTTCTTGCCTTTGATATATCTAGCGACGTCCAGTTTTGCGGTCATCTGGAAGACAAGCCTAAGATGGCTTCCAAAAAGTTAAGAGTGTTCAATAGAGTGAGACGGTACACGTCGGAACACCGCCTGAAATCTCAAGTCAGACCATATATGGAATACTATAATTATATAATCGCTATGGTACACATTACTTTTTCATAATATCGGCTTTTATATTAAACACTTTTCTTTTTTACTATTTTGATTGGTAAAAAATCGTTTTTATATATATCTATCGCTCAATCTGCATAATTTCTGTCGAACGATATAGAAAAAAAAAATTTTAGACATAAAATCACATAAAAATTTTAAATTGCTTTAAAAACATAATTTGCTGTTAAAAACACAATTTTATGTATAACACGTTGTAATTATATTCAACGCCATCTAGCGAAATGCGATCGAATTAATTCCGATACTTAAAATGGGATTCCCCTAATACCTTTCAACCATTATTTATTAAAAAACATCTAAACGTCCAAATACCTATATAATTTTTTTTTTTGTATTAGTAGGACAGGCAATTAGGTTTTTCTTTAATTAGATTTTTTATGTTTATTTTGCTGATCATATTTCATAAATCCAAAGATGGGAATTACCAAAGAAGAAGTACTCATATTTGGACTTCCCCCTAATTTTAATAAAAGTTAATGACAAAAGATAGTTATTATCACGTTTTATCATAACTATCAGTAATGTGATGCATTATGCTATTTAACATTATGCCTACACTACAAGGTCATGTAACCTTTTAATTTATATTGTTTTTATTGATTATCTATATACTGGATGCAAATTATTTGACAACACTGATAACTTTAATTCTTTGCAAGACAAAAATTTTATCTATTTTACTGAACTAGGTGGTTTTTTCTTTTTTTTTTTTTAATGGGTGATAATCGAATGGTAAGCCCACCCGTGCTATCGGTATACACCGGCGAGGCATCACTGAAGGATGATAGATGAGGATGAAGCAGGTCAGTTAGCCCATCGTGACGAATTCAACAAGAATTGTTCACGATGGTTTCCAGGGGAACCGCGTGAAGATCGACCTAATAGGGCATATTGCTAGCAATGTCGAACTCCATTGCTAACAATCCCTTTCCCCCTTGAACTAGGTGTTATCTTTCAGAAGTCTTTATCGCTGGTTATTTGAATAGAATTATTTTGTTTAATTCCGCTACTATATGTGTGATTGCTAACACTCGAAGATATGAGAAAAGAGATAGGGCCTAACAGCTCCATTGCTAGCAATATATCCTATCAGATCAACCTTCTCGCGGTTCTATTCGTCACGATGGACCAACTCTCTCATTGGTATCCTGACAGTGTACACTGGTAGCGTAGGCGGAATTACCATTTTATTTTCACCCATAAAAAATACCGAGAACATTGTTTGCATCACTACTTTCGAGTATTATCAAAATTTCCACGACCTTTTTTTTTATACAACTGAGTCCTCAGAATGGCAAACAAGCTGACGGCCCACCTGATGGAAAGTGGTAACTGTCGCCTATAGACATGAGCAGTACCATGGACATAACAGAGTATCTGTTTCGCCCATGTTTGCCCATGCGTTGCCATTCCTGAGGACTCACTGGTAGCGTGTTATTCTTCTGTACCCTGTAAATTCACGCCATATCCCACCCTTCAAACCGAAACACAGCCATATTAGTCATCAATCTTCGACTATAAGTAGTATTATTTAATATATATGAAGTGGAACTGTAACCATATAATTACCTATATATTTACATTAAGTGTAAATATTTGATTTGATATGATTTGATTTTATATGTTTGTTCGTTTATGATAAACGTAATAAAAACTACTGAATTGCGTTAAAAAATTCTTTCTTCTGTAAAAATATTTTTTATTTTTATCGAGTAATATAGACTATAACAGCGCTGGGGTGAACAGGTGGGCAGAAAGGGTAGCCAATTTTGTGTGCTTCCGACACAAAATTGGCCACTCCTTCCATTCCCGATGATGAATATGGGCTATTATTTAAAAAAACAAATCGGAGATCTCTACGAAATATACATTAATGTAATACAAAGTACCAAAACATTGCCTATTAAATACATCTAGCGGCATCTCTGTATTAACATTATACATATAGCAAATATCGTACAGAAATGTGCTTTTGTGATTTATATCGATTAATAACATAAATTGTTAATAGATGGCGCTATGCGTAGCATCGTTTAATAAATAATGTCAATTTTACTATTTCATACTTTATTAAACAATTTTACTCATACAACACAAATTTGATAGATGTATTTTACGTTATTATAAATTGAATTATTATATTTGAAGAAATTAAACTTTATTTTGTACTTACATAATTCTATAGAAAGCGCCATCTTTGAACTTGATCTTGAATTATAATCGATTAAGATCTAATGATTTGGTTGGATCAAAAATGGTTCCAAGTTATATATATAGATGGCACTGTATTTTTTTTTATTTTTTACTGTTATATATGATAGATGAAGTTAGACTGGTAACTCTCGTTCAAGTTCAATAACAGGATATCCGCAATAAATACAAGATTAAGGATGAAGTCAACTCATCATCATCACATTGTGACGAATTTTACGAAAATTAACCACGATGGTCCCAAGAGCGAACCGCGTGGAAGTCGACCTGACAGCATATATTGTAATTAGCGATGGCGTCTACCTCCTTATTATTAACAATACCCCCCCCCGCA